CTCCTGACTAGCTGGGACTATAGACGTGTGCCACCATGCCCTGCTAATTTTTGTATTTTTGTAGAGACGAGGTTTCACTATGTTGGCCAGGCTGGTCTCAAACTCCTGACCTCGTGATCTGCCTGCCTTGTCCTCCCAAAGTGCTGGAATTACAGGCATGAGTCACCACACCCCGTTTTGAGGGTCCTTTTTCTCTTATCTTTCCATTTTTTTTTTTTTTTTGGTAGAGATGGGGGTCTCACTATGTTGCCCAGGCTGGTCTCAAACTCCTGGCCTCAAGTGATCCTCCTGCCTCAACCTCTCAAAATGCTGGGGTTACAGGTGTGAGCCATTGTCCCTGGCTTCTCCTTTTTCCATCTTTCAACTACAACAAAATATTTTCAACACCCTACTAATCCTTTTCCCTGTCTTCTTACTGCTAAAGAATAATTTCCAAAAAGTTAAAAGCATGATTCTCATTGTAAATATAAAATGAACATGAATCAAAGATTTTATTCAACTCATTCATTAATGAGGCAATCAGTACAATGTTAAGATTAGTTCAAAGGAGAATTCGAAGAACAGATATATAGGTATAGACATAGATATTAATCAGGAATGCTGAGTGAATTTGCTAGTGGATGCAAAATAATTAATATTCTATAGGATATCTTTATAGACCAACGTTTATTTGCATTGCTTTGGACAGGAGTCATGTGCATTATGATCGGTTTTCTACAAGTTACCTTTTAAGGTATTCAGCGTTTTCTGTATATTCATAGTATATTAAGAAACATTGGCTGGGTGCAGTGGCTCACACCTGTAATCCCAGAACTTCGGGAGGCCGAGGCAGGTGGATCACCCGAGGGTAGCCTCACCAACATGGCAAAACCCCGTCTCTATTAAAAAAAAAAAAAAAAAAAAAAATTAGCTAGGCGTGGTGGCGTGTGCCTGTAGTCTCAGCTACTCAGGAGGCTGAGGCACGAGAATTGCTTGAACCTGGGAGGTGGAAGTTGCAGCAAGCAGAGATCACACCACTGCACTCCAGCCTGGGCAACAGAACCAGACTCCGTCTCAATTAAAAAAAAAAAGAAAAAGAAAAGAAACATCACCACATTTTCTAAAATATTTTAATCACTCCAATATATAACACACTAAATCATGAATCCCAAGTGAGTGTATGCATATTCATAAATTTTGCTGAATCTTACTTTATATTTTTCTTTATTCAAGACAGGGTCTTGCTCTGTCAGCGGGCTGGAGTGCAATGGTGCCATGATAGCTCTCTGCAGCTTGACCTCCTAGGTTCAAATGATCCTCCTACCTCAGCCTTTGAGCAGCTGGGACCAGAGGCATGCGTGCACCACCACACGTGGCTAATTTTAATTTTTTGTAGAGATGGTGTCTCTACACCATCTCGGTGTTACCGAGGCTGGTCTTGAACTCCTGACCTCAAGCAATCCTCCTGTCTCTGCCTTCCAAAGTGCTGGGAATACAGGCGTGAGCCACCATGCCTGGCCTAACTTAATATTTCATTCTCCTTAGTCTAAGACTTTAGAATCCATTCCCATACACAGTTCTCAGCTTCTTTGCAACACATATGGGCAAGATTTTTTTCCAGCTTTTGTGGTATATAATCTATTTCCATCCTCCCCTTTTCTGGCTGACCTTGCATTTATCTTTCTGGGCTCTGTAGGGAGTTTATTCTTGTTATGGTCCTGGAGTCAATGAGGTCCATCAGGGGCAAGTTTGGAGGAGAAGAGGCATCCGTGTGGGAGGCAAAGGCCCCAGTCAAGTCTTGAAAGGTCTTAATGTAAGTGAAGGCTAATTTCTTTTCACAGGGGAGGCGGGGCTGCTTCTGTACACAAGGGAGCCTTGGGATTTGGGAATTTGGCTTTGTCTGTGTCTGTCCCAATGTTCCTATCACAAGTCTACGGTCCTACTCCTTCCCAATCAGTGTCCTAATCTTAGCAAGAGAACTTGCTGAGGTTGAGCACTTAACCTTTGCCACAATTCTGTAATCTGTACAATTATATTTAGTATCTGAAGATGAACTTAAGTCTGTCATGTGCCTACCCCAGATAAATGGTTCTTTGAATTTCAGCATATCTGTATCTTAAAATGAGAATTTAATACTTCATGCTTATCTTTTCCGTTGTTCAAAAACTCTCCAGGGCAGTCAGAAACATCCATTTCACTCTACAATCTTTATAATTATTACTGTTGCCATAGCAATCAAGTGCAACAGCAGCAAAAGCCCCCAAAGCTTAGTGGTCCATCTGCCCCTCACACTACTCCCAGTGCTAACTGGAGTAATCTGCTGCCCCTGTATGCCATGGGTTACTAGCATCCCTTTTGTTCCCTACGCTCCCACGAATCTGTGTGTAACCCAGCCAGAATCCCAGTTGAGAAACTGTTTCCTGGGGTCACTCCGCTATCAGCCAGGGTGTTGGTAGGAAACGCAGTCCATCTCCGAAAGGTTGAAGAAACTTGCTGCTCAACAGCTGTGGGCAGAATTACAGAGGCAACTGCATTAATATGCTAGGACGGCTGTAACAAAGTATGAGAAGTGAGGTAGCTTAAACAACAGAAACGTATTATCTCCCAGTTCTGGGAGCTAGACATCTGAGATCAAGGTTGTCGGCAGGGAAGGATCTGTTTCAGGCCTCTCTCCCAGCTTCTGGCAGTTCCTTGGCTCGCAGCAGCACAACTCTAATCTTCTCATGGTGTTCTCCTTGCGGATTTATCTTCCCAAATTTCCTCTTTTTATACGGACACCGGTCATTATGGATTAGGGGCCACCCTAATAACCTGATCTTAAGTAATTACATCCGTAATCATCCTTTTTTCAGATAAGGTCACATTCTGAGTTGCTGGGAGTTAGGACCTCAACATATGAATCTGGGGAGACATAAGTCAACCTGGAACCCCATCAAGGGTGATGAGCACATAGAGATGAGCAACAGCGGGAAGTGGTTAGGGCTCTGCTGGACTTCTCCATCCGCTCCTCCTCCTCCAGATCCCCTCTTCACCCTCCTCCACCTTGTTGTGTGTGCCTGGGAGGCCGACTGCCACAGACTGCAGCCTGCGCTCCCTTGCCTCCTATTGGCTTCTATTTGACTTGGGTAAGGGCACAGGCAGGAGGTGGGAGAGAGAGAATAGAAACAGTCCCTCACAGTACCCTCCCATGCCTTCCCAATGACTTTCATACCCCTCTCCGTGCTGCTGTCATATTTAATATTTGGCAGATGAGAGCTGAATAATGTTTAAAACATGGGTGAGTGTGTGTGCACTGTTTCAGAAGTTTTCGAACATTTAATAATGCTGATGTTGAGTACTTACTTTGTGTTGTAAGTACTTACTACAGTATGTTCTTGATGGTTCCTAAAAGGGAGGCATTCTGATTATCCTAATTTTAGAGTTAAGTAAACTGAGGCTCATTGAGATGGTATCTTGCCCAAGGTCAAGATCACACAGCTAAATTAGCAGCAGTTGCAGGATTCGATTTGGGGCTGTCAGCCACCAGAGGCTGCTCTAAACCACAAGGTCATCTGCACTGATCCATTTACCAGACATGACCTCCCCTACTTGACCTCCTGTCAAAGTCATATTCATTTTCAAGTTCTAGTCTAGCAACAGCTGTTCTGTGGGACTTTCTCAACTCCCTCCCCCGCACAAGAACTGACCACGCGGTCTGCATACTGCTCTCTGCTCACTGCCCTCCCTTCGTTGGCTCCTGTTAGGAAACCTACGGCTCTTTTCTGACTCATTTTCCTACCTGTGAGTTCTTCAGGGCAGACGGGTCTCCCAGTTCATCTCTGCGATTCCCGGGCCTGGCACTGTGTCTGCGCCGGGGGTGCCAGTAAATGTCTCTGGAAGGAATGCTTTCTTACCGTCCCTCACTGTTCCATACGCCCTGGTGCACCCTAATGGTCCCGGTTGCCACTGACTTCCTTCCTCAGTTTCATTCAGAGGCTATCTGTTAGTGGCTGCCAGTCCTGGACCATGCTCTCTCTCCTGGCCTCTGGGTGGGCGTTCCTGTCCCCTGCCCACAGGGTTCTTGTCCGCCAGCTCTGGTCAGGGTTTCTGAGCTGCTCCCTTCTGGGGGCGCTTCCCTCAGTTTCCAGGCGTCCGGGGTGGGGGGGGGTCAGGATTGACTTTACTTCCACTTCAGTCACGTTCTGTCAGGGATGTTTTGATGGGGTTGTTCTTGTCTTCTTTTGCTAGGTAGGGTGTTGAATGTAACTGCCTCCCTGTGGAGATCTTTGGAGGTCCCCCAGCCTGCTCCAGGCCAGCTACCTTGTGTCTGCTTCCACAGTATTCTTGAGGAAATACACATTTAAAACCCGACCTCTACCTTCCCCGTAGCTTCTCTTCACATCTCCTACTCCATGTTTTCCAGCTTTTCAATTTCTCTCAGAACAAAGGTTTTATTTCTAGGCAGGGCACCGACCGTGGTGGCCCTACTATCGGTACCACCAGGTCCCTCGAGGGACGTCCAGAGCTGAGTCCGGTCTGATGCTTTCTTTAGGATCCCAAACATCGCTGCCGCCTCCGCAGCGCCGTCGGATCCCTGGGGAGAGCATCCAAAATGTGAACCAAGTATTAAAAACATTGGAACATAACTGTTTTTAATTCTTACGCTATTTTTTGGTTATTTGTAATTTTTGTTGCTGTTGCTATTTTGAAAACCCAGCGCACTCAGGTTTTCTGGCGTGCATTCTGCCCCCCGCCCCCTATGAGAAATGCCCTCGGTGGGGCAACCTGCAGCTGCCAGAAGGCTTTTTCCCTGTGCCTCCTCCACGTCTCAGGTCGAGGTCACGGACCGCGGCTCTCCCGAGTTCGCCTTGGGAGCGCGGCGGGGCGGGAGGGGAGGGAGCCTGGCGCAGGATTGGACTTCCTCCCTCCACTCCGGAACTGCGCGCCCGAGCGCCTGGGACGCGGAAACCCGGGAGGCGCCGCGGGAGCCGCGGGGTGGGGGCGGTCGGGGGCGGGGCCGGAGGCTGGGGCGGGACCGGGGGCGGGCGCGGGGTGGGGCCACGTGAGGGCTGCGCTGGGTGCGCTGGGCGAGCTGCGCCGGCTGCGCTCCGCGGGCTTTCAGAGCTCTGGGCACCGGCCGGGCTGTGGTCCTCGCGCGCCGCCGCCGCCCCTGCCGCCTCTCGAGCGGGCTCGGCTTACAGCAACCGTCGGCCGGGGAGATGTGAGCCGGGGCCGGCGGGCGCGGCCAGACCGCCGCGATGTGGCTCAAGCCCGAGGAGGTGCTGCTGAAGAACGCGCTGAAGCTCTGGGTGACCCAGAAGAGCAGCTGCTACTTCATCCTGCAGCGGCGCCGCGGGCACGGCGAGGGGGGCGGCCGCCTCACCGGTAAGTGGCGCGCCGGGGCGGGCGCGGCGGCCGGGCTCGGGGCCTCGCACCCCGCCGGGCCCGCGGCCCCCGGTCCCGGGCTGCGTCGCCAGAGGTGATTTCTTGGGAGTCGTGGGGCCCGGACGGCCCTGCCGCGGGCTTGTTTTCCTTTTTTCTGCGTTTCTCCCGCGGGTTCCCGTCGAGGTGGTGTTAGAGGGGCTCCTGGGCGCGTGCGTTTTCCGGGCGAGGCAGGTGTCTTCGCTGCCTGGCCCGGTGAGCCGGAGGCCAGACTCGGCTTGGGAATCCAAGGAGAAACGCCGGCTGGAGCGGGGCCGGAGGGAGCGGGGCCGCCCTGGAGCAGCGCGGCTGCTGTGCGGGGCCAGGTGATAGGGGGGTGCGCCGGGCCGGCCCGGACTCGGCCATCTGGAGGCGCCGGAGGCTCCAGGTGGTGTCGCGGCTGGGGGCGCGCGGTGATGCGCGCAGGGCGCAGCTCTGGAGGCCGCGGTGAGCGGGAACTGTCTCCGCGCCCGGAGGGGAAACCGAGGGTAGGCGAATCGCAAGCTCGTGATCTTAGTAGAAAAATTGAACAGGTGAGTTTATTCTTGTCTTTCAGTGTCTTACAAGGAATAGTAGGAAAAAAAACTCAGGCTCGTAAAGTTGATGAAAAAGACAAAGCATTTGTTTTCAAAAAGTTATAATCCAAAGCTCTTTGAAATCTTGACGCTGGCTTACAATAGCTGGGACACCTGTTTAAACAGGTCAGTGAAGGAACAATTAGACTTTTTCATTTGTATCTAGAGGACTTATATGATTTTTCTTTACAATTTTGGAATCTGCATAACAGGGACCTTAGATCTCCTGTCTCATTCCTGTTCTACTGACAAGACAGAGACCAGAGAAGTCAAAGGACCTAGGTTAGGTCCCCGGGTTAGTGGTTGGCGGATTTTTCTACTCTCAGACCACAGTAGGGAAGGCCCTTCTGAGGTTGATTCTGGTAGGAGATGTACGTACTAACACGCCTGGAAACCGCAGAACCAAGTGCAAAGGGACTGGCTTTTGCTGGACTTTAGCTTCTGAGAAAGCTGGCGGTTGGTTTTGTTAGAGAAGGGCCGACTTACACGGAGACTGGGTGAGTGGGTGGGAGTTGGCAGGACGCTGCATGGAGGGAGCTGTAGGCAGCTGGGGGTTCCCCATGGAAGGGGCAGAGGGTAGTTAGGATTCTGAATGGAGGCGGATAGGTGTAGGGTGCTTTGGTAACCAGTGGTCCTGTTAAGTGGCAACAGGGACTCAACTTGGGCAACTTGAGCAGCACGTGGGCCTGCTCCAGGAGCTGTTTTGAGCTTTGGGGGAGGGAGTTGTGCAGGAGGCAGGGGCCACAGTGGCCTTGTTGGGCCCCGTGAGGCACCATGGTGCTTAGTGCCCAGGCTCTCAGGAAATGGAGGTGGGTAGTGCCCTGGGAAGAGGCATCAGAGGCGAAGAGGCAGGAATTTGTCGTCCCTCCTTTTCTTTGAGGGCAGTGTATCTTTATTTGTGGTGCATTTAGCAGGGTTCCTGGTCTATAAATGTTTCATTTAGTAGAGAGTGAGGACAAGGCCTGAGGATTTGTGAAGTGAGAAGCCTAAGGACAGTTTGTCCCATAAACATTCATTCACTTAGTTCTGTGCACATATGTAGGATACTCTGTTCGCTGCTCTGGAAAGAGGCCGGAGAGCAGGCGGTGAGGGCCAGCTGCCTTCCCGATTCACCATCTAGTTGGTGGGTGAGATGGGTCCAGATACGGAGGGCAGACCTGGCCCTTAGGATGCCTGGTCTGGCTTCAAGCCCGCTTCCTGTCCAGAGGGTTTCTGACTCTGTTGTCCAGAGTCTCTCTATGATGAACTCAGTGAATTCCGTCCGTTTCATTCCCAAATCAAGCAGGTCCCATGTTTGTTACTATACCTGTGGCTTTGGCATTCCTTGGTATTTACTTTGGTTTGGACTTGATGTGAATGTGCAGAATTTTCTTATGCTTAACGGCAACAAGATCAACCATAAAGGAGAAAAAGTCTACAAAAAGACAGAGGACACTTGATGTATTTCTTGGAGACCCTGTTCATTGGGAAGGGATGACATCTGCAGCCAGACACTTTACCTTTGAGCATTTAGCTGGGAAGCCAGTGCGGATGAAGCAGTGCTGACCTGCCCCGTGTACTGTGGGGGGCTGGTCTTCATGGGGCCACTTAGAATGGTTGTAAAGTCAAGACCCATGGAAAACAGGGCAGCTCTGTGGTGGTGGCGGGTTTTGGAAAATGTGGAATTCTGATGTGGCAGATGTTTAGCAATTTAAGAGTTTAAAACCTAGACTGAGTTTATGAAAGGAATGGGGGCTACAGTGATACACATTCTGGGAGGTTGTAGACTTTTGTTTGGAGGGAAGCAGGCAGTGGTGGCCTAAGGGGGATTGGAAGTAAAATGTAAGAGAGCAGTGATCAATAAACGTCTCTTTTCCTTTATTGTGATGCTGAATTTGTATTAATAGGAGTCTAGGCAGAGGAGATCTGGTGGTTGAAGTAATCTGAATTGCCTAACTTCAGAAATACTATCCGCTTTTGTTTCCTTGAGGATTAGAATCAGCCCTCATGCTTACATACATGCATATACATGCGCGCTCTCTCTCTCTCTCTCTCTTTCTCTTCACATCTCCAGGTTTATTTTTCTCCTTAGTTCCTTCTCACTTTCTCATACAATATACCAATTTATTTTTTTCATTGCTAAATTTCCTGTTCTATGAGGGCAGAGATTTCCCTGTGGTAGTGCCCAGCATATTTGCTCAGGATGAATGGATGGGTGACTATATGCATGGATGATGGATCCCACTTTTTTATTAAAAGTTGGGTGGGAGTAGAGGCCCAGGGTTTTGGACTGATTGCCTGGAACAGGAACATCCCCTGTCTCTTCTCAGCTTCCTGTTTACCTGGCAGTCTGACCATTATGGAAAGCTGGAGGGGTGTGGGTGGGAAACACAGTAGTTTCCTCCAGTCTTTTTTTTTTGTAGCTCCCTCTTTTGAGGGGGACGGATCATCACACTAACTTCTGTGGTGGCCAGAAAGGGCGGGTGCAGATGTGGCTGCCATTGTTAACCTCCTGGGCTCTGAGCATTGCTAGGGAGGTGCCCATCTTTTCCTCAGGTTAGAGCATAGCATGGCCGAATTCAGGATTATGAGATGTTTCCAAACTTCTGCTTGCAGAAGTGATTTTGCTACTCTGGAAAGGAAGTAAAGTTACAGTCTCCAGCCACTTGTAACAAGTTCAGCCAGCTCTGGGAAAACAAAGAGCTGGAGATGTTAGCATGTGGGAAAGAGGCTGCAGAGAAAGAACACGCAATGTCGCTGCCCCCTCTCCCAGGGTCTCTGAAGCACTTCAAGTGAGTGGGGTAATAAGGAACTTAAATAGCTCAAGAGCCAAAAACCTAATAACCGGATTAAAAAATGAGCAGAAGACGTTAATAGACGTTTTTCAGAAGAAGACATACAAATGGCTAACAGGTACATCAAACATGCCCGGCATCACTAATCATCAGGGAAAGGCACATCAAAACCATGAGGAAATACCGCACTCCCGTTAGAATGGCTATTACTTGTTTATTTAATTAATGTTTTTCTTAGAATGGCTATTATTGAAAAGACAAAGGAAAGAGGTGTTGGTGAGGATATGGAGAAAAGGGAACGCTCGCACACTTGGTAGGATTGTAAGTTAATATAGCCACTATGGAGAACAGTATGGAGGATCTTCAAAAAACTGAAAATGGAACTGCTGCATGATCTTGCAGTCCCGCTACTGGGTATATATTCAAAGGAAATGGAATCAGTATGTTGAAGAGATACCTGCATTCCTGTGTTTACTGCATCACTATTTACAATACCTAAGATACGGAATTGACCTAAGTGTCCAACGAGATAAAGAAAGAAAATGTGAGAGATATACAACAGAACACTATTCAACTATACAAAAGAATGAAATCCTATCATTTGTGACAACATGGTCTCAAACTCTTGACCTTAAGCAGTCCTCCCTCCTCGGTCTTGGCCTCTCAAAGCACTGGGATTACAGGTGTGAGCCACCGTGCCTGGCACATTTGCAACAACATGGATGAACCTGGAGGAGGACATCGTGTTACGTGAAATGAGCCAGGTACAGAAAGACAAATACTGCATGATCCCACTTATATGTGTAATCTTAAAAAAAAATGTTGGTGTTATAAAAGCAGAGAGTAGAACAGTGGTTACCAGGATGGGAGAAGATGGATGGGGAGAGGTTGGTCAACAGGTACAGAGTTACAGTTAGATTAGGAGAAGTAAGTTCTGCTGTTTTTTGCACAGTAGGGTGACTGTGGTGGTACTGTGTATTACAGAATAGCTATGAGAATGAGAAACTTTTGAATGTTCTCACCACAAAGAAATGATAACTGTTTGAGGTGATGGATATGCTAACTACCCGAATTGGATAATTATGTAACATATATGAGTATTGAAACATCAAATTGTACCCCATAAATATGTACAGTTACAGTGTGACAATTGAAAAATAGTGAGTGGGATAAACCTTACTCTAAAGACCAAATAGCGTTAGGAGAGATACCTAATGTAAATGACGAGTTAATGGGTGCAGCACACCGACATGGCGCATGTATCCATATGTAACAAACCTGCACGTTGTGCACATGTACCCCAGGACTTAAAGTACAATACAAAATAAAAGAAGAAAAAGACCAAATATCACCACCCAGCTGTGTACTCTGAAGGATTTTTCAGTGTTTTATTGCATGCATTCCTGTATAATCTTGCAATTCTTTTCCTGAATTGACTGACAATTTAAAAGTTGTAATTTGAAAAAACATTGATGTTTTCTGCTTTGCAACGTGGTTACCTTAAGCCCCTGTTCCTGTCATTGCATTTGTAGTTGTGATAGGCTAATTCCCTAAACAGTTAGGGTGAAGGGAGGAAGTATGGTATAGTGGAAAATAGTGTAAAATACAACCTTTG